AAGTCGTCGAAACGTTGACAAATAAATCCTTAAAATGGGAACTCATTGTTTAGCTGCTGTTAAATCAATTATCTTTATTTTACGTTTATTACCCGTTAATAAGAATAATTATCTTACTTCCCTCATCCTTCTTACACTCACGGAGACTAACAAGACTGATGAATCGATAGCTCTTGAAACTCTCTACAAACTAAGCTAGTCAAAATATCTTGACTGGCTGAGCCAGTCACCGCACATATGTAAAAGAAACGTTCGAGTATCGAAAACACCAGTAGAGCACCCCTTTGGTCATATTTTCCACATAAACCAAACATCATACCCTTCTTTATAGTATACTGTTCCATAGCCCTTCAAATTCTCCACATACTGAGCTAGTCAGACCATCTTGATCGGTTGGACCAGTCTGCACATACATCTAAAAGAAACGTTCGAGTACCGAAACTACCAGCAGAGCACCCCTTTAGTCATATTTTCTGGGTGTTCAGGTATACTGTATTTAAAGGGTTCTTGATATTTTAGAAAAACGTTTGAATTTCATTAAATGTCTTCTGAGTTATGAGTTATAACTTATTATTCTTCGCTTAACGGTGATGTGTAGCTAACACATATTTCCAGATACTTCTTTATCAGATGTTTCACCGTCTTTTAGCAGGTATTTCTATCAGCCGACTTCTTAGGTAAGTTTTTTCTAATCAGTTAAGTTGTATTGATTCGAAGAACAAAATTTTTTCCAAAGATATATTTATTTCTTTTAAAGAACTTTGTAACAACAAATGTGAAAGGATCAAAGAGCTTTATCTTTGGTTACGCCGTTGTTAATAATGATTTGAAACTTTATCACGTAAAAACATAGAGTACTTTAAAGTACTTGGCAGCAATGATGCTCTTTGCTTTCTTTGAATATAACCAGCGATGCTAAACGCACTTTCGGTTGCACCGGAGGTCGCTGGGATAAGATTATAACGACGAACTAATGAGGCCAAATATTTTAAATCATGTTTGTTTTCTGACCAAAACGTTTCAAATTTAGAATCCAGCTTGACTCTTGACACGTAATTCGCCAGTTCTTCTCGAACGGACAGTACCTTTTTGTCTGTTTTCATTACCGTGGTTGAGTCCATTGAGAGTCCACATGTGAATAAAAATTCATCTATTTGCGAATTTTTTTTTCGTAGTTGCTTGAGACTGTACACTCGGCGGAGACGGCTGTGGAGTTTCTGATACAGCTTTTTCTGGTTGAAGATCAGCAAAAATCAGTTTTTTGGCTTCTCGTTTCTCATCGTCTTTGAGATATTTGTACGTGAAAGAGTGAAAATAGGAAGCAACCTAAAGCAAAAACTAATAACGTGTCTATAACATACTGAAAAGAAACGAAAGCAAAGAGAAAATACTAACCAGAGCCAACTCCTGCTGCTTAGTTGGTAATATAGTTTCAAAATAATACGTAAATTTTGTACATAGACACCTTTCGATTACGGCATCTAATTCGGCGGTATTCAAATCTGTTAATAAAAAATGCTTTAACGAATTTAGTACAAATCGTCCGAGGGCCATTGTTGGACAATTTCTCCCAGATAGCATTTCGATTGCGTATACAAATGGTTCTAATACGCGTTTTAAACTATTCAAATACTCCCACTTCTCGTGAGAAAAATCAAATGTTTTTAGCTTGTTGCGCTAGTCTTAGACCAGTAATAAGATGTGGCGACGTTATGATATTGTTAATTATCTCGCGATACCCAATAAAACGTTTAACCATGGTGTAGGTGCTGTTCCATCGAACAATAAAATCGAGTACTAATTCGGGACTTTTCATCTTGAGCATCGACGCTTCGGAATCATTCGCTATTTGGTCAATACGTTTGGGTTCACAGTGCAGTTGATTTTTTGCTTGTATACGAACATGTGCATGAATAATGCTCGATCGCCGAATGAAAGTGATCATTGCTCGTACGTCTTCTAACAAACTATTTATTTTCATTAACAACTCAAATTCTTTACGGCGTTCTAAATCATCGATTTCGGAAGACTCTTCATCATCGTCAGCTTGGCTTTCCTCGGTCAAATCTTCTTCTTTCGATGACGTTTCATCTTCGTTCTTCGATGAGTCGCCATCAGAATCATACTCTGTTGAGCAATCACTTCCATCGTCAGCCAGATTTTCATCAGTCTCATAATCTCCGTCGTCATACGCTATTCTTGTTGTCGCATTCCCTTTCCTAGAAAAAAATAAACAATATTGACATGAGAGGAAAGTAGTAACTGAAAGAGAAAAACTTCTGCTTTTTCTATCGCGAAAGCAAAGACTTCTTTTTTTCTCCTTTTTATCTTCTTAGTTGCACTTCTCAAAAATTCTACTTTACTTTTTCTCTTTTCGTTTTCTCCAAAGACATAAACCGGTCGTAACGGTCAGGTTTAATTTATGACTAAACAAACAATTCTTGTTCCGAATTTGGCTGAGCGTCCTGTAGGTGAATGTCACTTCCACTGTCGGTTGTAACTGAGCGAATTTTCAGTTGAATTTTTAAGTTTCAATCTCATAAAAAATGTATTTTTTCAAACGTTTAGCGACCTTTCGACCACATAATCGACGGAAACCAATAACAGTTGACGTATAATCAAAACTGTTATTAAAGTAATGGACAATGAGACATATGAAATGGAATCTCGAACAACTACTCCAAATATTCGTTGTCAACGAGATGTCGAGGATCGTGGATAGAGTGTCTCGAAGTCGGTCAGGTTCTTGATGATATAGTGTTGCTAAACGGCGCCGAACTGTATGACGAAGTGGTCCCTTATAACCGGGTACGGCAACGTCGAGAAAATCTCGCATACCGGGCAGTCTGAAGTCTCCGAATGTACGGCCATCTTCAATAATGCAGGAAACAGCGGCTTCATCCAGTTCTTTTTTCCGATCTAGTGGAATTATGAATGTTTTCTTTGAATGTCCACGATGTTGAGACGGATAGAGAGAGAACACTCCAGAATTGGGCTTCAATCAATATTCACAGACTTCTCAGCTGCAGAATAGATAGTAAAAGTGAGTAAGTCTGTTTGAATATACAATGTCAATCATGTGCTTCTAAGCTACAATTGTCGTCCATTACCGCAGTTTCTAAAGAACGTAAACCTCTGTTCGATCGTTCATCGATTACCGCAACAACTACAGTCGAACCGATGGCTAAGGCTAGCCTAGTAGAAGTAAGCCGTATGACTGTCCGGAAGAGGGATGTGTAGCTTCGTTTATCAGATACAGAAATTTAACTCAACATTTATGTACAGGAAAATACCGATGTCGAATAGAACATAGTTCCATGAGAGGGACATGGGTATGACTATGTATCACTCGAAACTGGAAAATATTGAAGTAAGATCAATGATTTCTCTTCAGTTAGAAGAGACTACACCTGCTGCTGATGATAGTACAATTCGTATTACACCACCTGACAGAGGATGTGCTTTGCCAAAAGAACGAAAAGTGATACGTCTGACTGAATCTCAGATAAAATATCTCACTGAGAAGTTCGGTGAAGGTGTACAACAGACAATTCGATGGAAACCAGAAGAAGAATCAGCTGAAATGCAACGAAAAAGATTTGAAGAATAGATTCTATTTCACACTAGCCGAGTTTTTAAAACCTGGCCCAATCAAATCGTTTTTTTCACGTTTGAAGTCGATAAGTGGAAAGCAAACAGAAACAGTAGTTGTAGACGAAGTGGAGGAGGAAGATGATGATGAATTTGACGATAATCAGGTAGTTGGAGAGACTGAGCAACGAAATAATTTAAGACATTCAATGGGAACTAGCAACGAACAATCATCACCTCCGGCTTCCTCTCGAAATCGAGCAGTGTTACCAGATAAAAGAGCTGAATCAACGACTGATGTTCGTTCGGCTAAAAAACGTTCGTCGTCGAGGAAACGTACTATTGTCAAATAAAACATTGAAATATTTATAATATGTCTCCCAGTGAAAAAGAATGGGCGTGATTCCGCCAGTTCCTGCGGGAAAATATTTTTTCGTCGAAAGTTTCTATTTTTCTGCAGGAAATTTTCAGTTTTCGGCGAGGAAACGCTATTCACGACGAAGTGTTTTTTCTGACCGTATGCAGACTTATTTTTCTGTGAAAATTTCATGCTGGATTCTGCCGAATATTTTTTCAGCAGAATCCTGTGAAAAAAGATGAGCGTGATTCCGCCAGTTTCTGCGGGAAAATATTTTTTCATCGAAAGTTTCTATTTTTCTGCAGAAACCATTAATTCACGGCGAAATGTTTTTGCAAACTATGCAGATTTTTTTTTCTATTAAACTTTCCGTTCAAGATTCTGCGAGATATTTTTTCAGCAGAAATATATCCCAAAGAATGCAAGGGCTCACTCTACACTAACGGGTGGCGCATAATAAACGGGACATTTTTGTTCTTTATTTTTAAGGCACTTCCAAATGATCTAAAAATCTGGCTCTAGTCTCATTTGATAGAGAATTGAATTCTCTACAGAACCTGCTTTTTGAATCTCTGATAGCATTTTTCTTGTTTGAGCACTACTCAAAATATTGAATAGTGCTAAATTCTCGAACTGCGACATACCGAAAACAGAAAAATATTTGCCTTGATCCCAGAACAGATTTCATAAGAATTTTGAAAACATCAGAAGATTCACCGAAAAATGCTGCATCTTCTTACACATTCTTCGAAATTCTACAGTTAAGTTTTCTACGAAAATTTCTCTTTGCAAAAAGGTGATAAATCTAAAAAAATCTAACTTTTGAATCTATTTTTCACAGATTTTTATTTTTTGCTTATAAAAGCAGTAAAACGTTATGAATCCAGGATTTTAGCCTTGTTATCGTACACAGAATTAATTTCTGCATCTTTTGATATATAAACAAAGTTTCTCAATTGAAACCATTAATTATAAAATTAATTTAATTTGAAAAAGCGTGAAAAGCCGGTTGAGAATTATTTAGGAGTTCAACTGACGTAGCGAAAACATTATATGAAGTTATAAATGAGTGACACCGATAGAACACAAAATTCTCTATTTTTCTACCTAGAAAAGCAACTACTGAACCTCAGACAATGAGCTAAAAATCTCAAAAAAACATATAACAAAAGCACGTCGCAGTTTGAGCATTTAGTACTATTGAATATTTTGAGTGGTGTTCAAACGAGAAAAATGCTATCAGAGATTCAAGAAGCAGATTTTGTAGAGAATTCAATTTTCTATTGAATGAGACTAGAGCCAGATTTTTAGACCATTTGGAAGTGTCTTAAAAATAAAGAACAAAAGTGTCCCGTTTATTATGCGCCACCCGTTATTTGTTAAATCAATAATATTTCACCCAGCAAGATCACTTGGATCAGAGAAACAGGTCGATTTGTGAGGTTTTTAGAAGAGCAAACAACTATATTAGAGTCAAGCTCGGATTGCGGTCGTCATGTATACTGTCATATTTACGACAACGAATGCACTTAGCAATCAAATTTGTTTATCGATTAATATTAATTAGTTGCCGTAAATTTTTCCCAAATTCTTGTAAATCTTAATCAACTAATAGATTAAAAAATATTCGAGAAAATTGTTATGAATGTTGAGAGTAAGTAAATGTTTTTCTCAGTCCGCTAGTAATCGTAAACCGAAACGCCAGGATACACATTTCGAGATGTGCTCTACAAACTGGAAAAGTTAAAATGAATAGCTGCTATCCTATGGAAGAAATGCAAGACATCTTCAAAACGAGAAAACAGCAAAAAATCTTTAAAATCAGTTCTTAATATCAGTAAAATTTTTATCAGGAGAAAACTCTAAAATTAGAGCGATCTAGTCAAATTAGGAGATTCGTATATCTGATCACTCGGTAGAAGACTTTGCGCGAAAGTTCTGCGTGCCAATCGATATTCAAAAAATTCCTTTTGTTCCGCAGGAATTTTGATTTTCCTGCATAAAAAAACCACGGATGGTACCATAGTTTGGTCAAAGTTGCTAGTAAAACAAAAATTAAGAACAATTGCCAATTTGTTTATAATAAGCACAATCCAATAAAAAAGTGTACAAACCTAGAATAAGTAAAAGTTGACTAATTTTTCAATATATGTACAAAATCTATCTAACTGTAGAATATTCGCGACGGCTTAATGTGTTTATCATGCAATTCGAAGGTACTGTGTTCAAACCTACAAAAGCTCAATATTATTCGTCAACTCTGCGCAAAAAGTAAACATTCCGTGCATAATACTGTGCGGAAAAGGTAAGTCTTCTGCACGAAAACTAAGTAGAGTGAGGCTGACTACGATATATAAGGTGAGAAAAGTGGATAGCGGAATGATGAGATGAAAAGCGAGACAACGGTGAAAATCTTCTTTTTCAGAAAATGTTTCCGCAGAATTCTCCGCAAAAATTTCTGCCGACTTTAAGACATTTACGACGAAACATTTCTGCAGAAGTCTTCTACATCGGGAAAAGAGAAGAATTCTGCCGACATTTTTCGTCGCAAATGTCGTTAACTCGGCGGAAATTTTCTGTAAGAAAAGAAGCGAGTTCTTCAGATTTTCAAAACATTCCTGTAGAATGCGGCGGGAAAAGTGCTTCTTTTCCTGCTATATTCTTTTATCCGCTTTTTACCGTCCACTTCAGTTTGCTGAGCTCTATAATACGATGCAGGTATTGCCACTGATGTCAAAGGCCGATGTAAATGGTGGTAGGTTTTGTATAGATCGAGCCTATCCGTCGATGCCGAAAACATCACTCTGCAGTAGTAATATCCGAAAAAATGAGTGTTCGCGCTTTCAGCTACAAATGAATTACCAGCCAATTTGCAGAGTATTGGAAGAGCTTCCTTTTGATATATAATGTAGACCGCAACCTAAGTTCTTTCATGATAAACACACAGAAACATTATCCATCAGTATACTTGAAAACATCATCCTTTAGCAGTAAAATCCCAAAAAGTGAGTGTTCGCACTTTCACCTAAAAATGAATCACCAGCCATTTTGTAGAGTTTCGAAAGAGCTTTCTTTTGATGTATAATACAGATCGCAAGCTAGGTTCTCTCATGGTGAAAGAACAGAAATACTATCGTGGACTATGATGAAAAGTTATTTTTAACAGTAATATTGCGAAAACGTGGATGTTCGCAGTGTACATAACACTTGAGCAACAGATAGTTTTGTTCGCCGTTTAAAGCTGCATCGAATGGTATATAAGACTTTCCTTCAAACTTGTTGCATTCTGAGAAAATTACGAAATAGGCCTCTGAATGGGCTCGCGGAGTTATTGTTTAAAGTTGATCGATTTTCTGACAGATATGAGGTCCGAAGGGGAACTAAGAGTGTAGAACCCCATACAAGTGTCCACTCTTTCATTCTAGATACCTTTCGAGATGATCTGGAATGGGGCTGATCCTCGTTCTTATTGCACCCCGTCCTTTCTTCCAAAATTCTGAATATAGTCGTCAAATGGATATTATAATAGTCATAGATTTACAAAAGTTAGTAGAAAATTTTCAGTACTCGTACGCGGGACCTTTTTTTACGACTACCTAAAATATGTTCGAGTATTTGCGAGTGAGTACTTGAGAATTTTTTACTACTATGCTTTACAAAGAATTTTTGATCTTACAGATGAATAAATGTGATTATTGTAGTAACAAGCAAAACTACTTTCCAATCTGCGGGAAACGAAAAGTATCAAAATTATTTCATTATCTTGAAAATTCATCTCAGAGAATATTAAATCTAAATTTCACTGTATTAGAAGAGCCAGAAAATTTTTCTGAAGAGCTGAGAATCTTATTTTAACGAAACACTAATCATATCCTCATCTATCAAATGTGTGATTATATACAAAATAATAGTAAATGTAAGCGAAAATATAATGTGTAACAACAGGTGAGTCCGTCAAATCTTTATTTAAAAATTAAAGTCTAAATATGTTACTGTTGAAGGTAAAGCAT